AACAAACTGAGGATCCTTGAAGGGAAGCCAGGACAACAATATAAGTGGCAATGAAGTTACCTGATTGCTTACTCTAATGTCTAGCTCAGCTGTAGCATACCATAGACCTGCAGTGTAGGGACAAATGGTACCCTTATCACTGGACAGTGACCTGTATGGATTCTCCATCTGATGGCCTTTCAGAATCTCTGCTGCATGCATGGAATTGGCCTGTTGCTTTGAGAAACTCTTAAGATATGTGACAGTAGAGTCCTCTGATGGTTAATGATGGTCCATTGTCCACCTCTGGGATTGAGCTGCATTTGTGGGTGACACCTAAGCCTTCATCTGCCTGTGTTCCACTTATGGTGCTGCCTCTGGTGACAGCATTCAAAGGAATAGGATGGTGGTTGACTTCCTTTACTCTGCGCACCCTGTGGTCACTGGTTCTCAGCTTCTACCTTTCCAGTGGGTGACTGTGCCTATCTCCCTGATGGTTACAACATCACAGGCTCTTCCAGCCAATGTCCTCTCTTGCCTCCTGTGACATGGATGTTCCTCTGACCCTGTGATGACAAGTCATGGACCCACCTCCTTCCTACTCTCTGCTAAGAAGCCACTCCTTTTCCCTCTTCCAGCCAATCGGTTGACTATAGCCACTTGCAGGGGAGGGGTTAAGGGTATAAAAGCTGGGAAAACCATGAGGCTGGTCTCTCACCATTTTGTGAGGCTGTCCAGAACCACAGATTTAAGTCTGGGTGTGGAATTTTGAACACAGTGGTGAATTCGGGGGTGGGGGAGGGGGCTTTTGTCTGTAAGTAAACCTGCACCCCAAGCTCAGTTAGCAAGTCCAATAAACTCGTTAAGATTCTTCAAACCAGGGTTTGGAGAATTCTTTCCTCAGGTTGTTGCAAGGACTGTGGTTGGAGTGGATTGGATGCCACATGCACCTCTCAGCAGTGAATTTGACTTACACTTCCCAGTGACTCAGTGATGCTGCTGTTTCTCAGGCAGATCTAACCTAGGCCTGTGATAATTAGTTTTAACTATCAGCTTACCACAATATAGAATCACTTGAGCTGGAAGTCTCAATTGAGGAATTGTCTTGGTTGCCTTAATGGATATAGGAAGACCCACTCCAAATGTGGGCATCTTTTCCTAGCATCTCAGATAAAAAAAGTCCATGGAATAAGGAAGGCCATTTGCCTCTTGTTTGCTTGGCCAACCTTGTTGCTGCTACTGCTGATTCCTTCACTCATATCCGAACCAGAATTTCCAGGCTTCTATCATTGACTGAGGACCAGCAGCCCTGTAGATATTCAGAGTCAGATTGGGACTGATGAGGCATCAAGCCTGATGGACTGAGCAAGTACTGGTATGAGACAGCTGTTGTCACTATTTTGACCATATTGAATAAGCTGACTTAATACACACACACACACACACACACACACACACACACACACACACTCCATCTATTCTGCTCCTCTAGGGAACACCAACTAACACAAATTGTGGTGCCAGGACTGGGGTGTTGCTGTGATGCACCTGGCCATGTTGTTCTTGGAAAGAATTGTGGAAGCAGTGGGTATTTGGTCTGGAAAAACCATTGAATGCTCAGTGCTTAATGGGCTGTTCTGTGGGAGCTTGAGACACAAGAACGCCAAGAGAGATGCAGACAGTGGAAGTAAGGCTTGTGATGTTTCAGAGGGAAGCAAAGACTAGTGGGTTCATTCATGTGATATTTTGGGCTGAAAAATTAATCTGTGGTTGCTGGTCAGTCAGGGCTGAAGATTTAGCAGCAGTAGCAACAGGGTAATTTAACTCTGTGGCAAGAGGATGGGCAGTCAAGCAAAAGGCAAATGATCTTTCTTCTTCTGTGTCTTATTTTTACCTGTGTTGCTAGGAGAAGGTGCTGCCCACATTGAGGTGTGTCTTCCCACATCAATAAAAGCAATCAAGACAGTTTCTCAATTGAGACTTTCTGCTCAGGTGATTCTAAATTGTGGCAAGCTGACATTTAAATCCAACTATTACAAGGGCCAGTGGGGAGTGGGTGTTCCTTATATGAATGAGACTATTTTTCTTACTGTGCGCACATCTCCTTGCTCCTCCCTGGAGTTCAGGCAATATTAAAAGAGATCAGATTCTAGGAATGTGATTAGTGACCAAATAATTCAAGCACATACATGATTAGAAGTCATGGTGCTCTATAGTAACACTGTAGGAGTGACATTTGCAATATGGACAGAATCTGGATTAATGACTTTTACTTAGCCATGCACCAAAAAGCTCCTGTATCCACATCTCCAGGGCTGGGGTTGCAGGTATGCATCACCTGGCTTTTTGCATGGGTGCTGGGGATCCAAACAAGCTCACTGAGTAATGTGTTCTTGTGTCCTAGGCAGCTGACCTTAATCCTTCGGAACCCCACTTTGCCCTCCACCCAAGATAGTGAGGGTGCTTGACTAGTATATCACAGTGCTGCCAACAATGTGTCCTTCTCATCAGAAACAATGAGAATAATTGAGAAGCCTGCTTGATATTGTACGAGTGAGGTCTCTTAGTCCTGGACTAAGGGGTGAGATTCTCTGATAAGATAAGGGTGACTTCTAGCTTCTACTTCCCCAGTTGATGAGTGAAAGGGAAGCTCGTCTTGAGCAGCACAGTTCCATAAACATCTGGAGGAATGGGTGCCTCAGGGTTTGGGTTCACTTTTGGTCTTAAAAATAAACACTAAGACAGCTGGGGCTACAGGGAGACCCTGTCTCAAAAAGACAAAAATAAATAAATAAATAAACAAACACTGAGAGCCAGGCTGCTTATTTATTCAGGTATAAGTGTAATGTGACTTAGAAACATCACGTAACACTCTACAACTCCAAATGGAAAATGAATTGTCATTCAGACTTTCCCACATATACTAGGTAGGCTTATATTTTTGCCTGTCACCAAAACACAGAAACAACTTTATTTTTGGAATAAGGTCCTCATATAGTAAAGGCTGACTTCAAACTTGTTCTACAGTTAATGCTGACTTTGAAACTCTGATCCTCCTGCCTCCATCTTCCAAGTGCTCTGATTACAGGAATCTGCTACCACACTCAGTTTTATGTGGTTCTCGGGATAGAACTCAGGGCTTTGTGCATGCTAGGCAAGGGCTCTACAACTGAGCTACATTCCTACCTCTAGAGACAATCTTTGAGGGAGACATAGGAAGCCAGTGTGTGAAGGTGCTAATGTAACTAGCATTAACATGATGACAATAGAGAGCCACAGAGGCAGTAAACTCAGAATGAAACCCAAACTCAGGACCAAAACTAGGTTGTTTCAATACAGAAAGATTGCAAAGAACCATGACTTGTAAGCCTCTTCTCATGGTGACAGTGAAACAGCCAAAAGAAGATGAACAGATGTTTCCAGCATCTAAAAGAGAGAGCTGGGATCTTGTTTCTCTGAAGAATTTCTGAAGTGAAGTTATAGAGCAGTAAACAAATAGTTGATTACTTTGTCCCTGTTGATCAATCTAAATCTCAATTGATAAATGTCAACACTTCATATAAACTGATAGATTTGGAGCTATCAAGTTGTTTAGAATCATGTCCAACTGTTTGATATTGGGACTCAACATTGTCATCTATGAAGTTCACATTTGAAAATATTGTCATCAAATTACAAAAAAAAATATCATGAAACACTCCCCTAAGTAAGTTTATGGATTTGTGTTGGGTGGCAGCCATCACCCTCCTTGGCTGCACATGGACTGTGGGCTGTGGAATGGGCATCTGGAAAGCTCCTGTAAAAATATTTTTACAAGGCTCTGTAGAGCTGATACTCTTGAAGATGCTGTCTCGCTGGCTTGTCTCCTGGTGATAAACACTTCATTGGGATGAAAGCCAGAGGAATGAGGAGAGAAGAATGAGAGATGATGAATGTAGACAGTCGTCTAAAAAAAATTTTTGCTGTGGACAATAGTAAAGAAATGAGGCAGAAGGTGGCATTATGTGTGGAGTCAGGTTATTATGTTTTAGATATAGTCATGTATTCTGATAGGAATGGTCAGCAGAGGAGGGAACTTGATGCTGCAGAAGACAACAGTGTATGAGTTGATATCATTGCTGTTTTCTATGTCCAGATGTAGCCATTCCAGAGCCAGTGTGGAATAGACGTAGAGTTCTGATGTAGCCAGGGCTGGTGAGTCAGTTATTTCTGTATTGCCTCAGTTTCAGTCCACCTCACTGATACTGGATCATTTCTCCTCAGTCAGCTGGCACACTGTCAGAGAACACTGGGGACAGGGGCATTTCCAGGTCAGTGGGCTTTGTTCTAGGCAGAACTTTGGAGTACAGAGTGGTCCGCAGCCTGCCTCCCATCAGCCCCAGGGCCCAGAGAGTGATCACCAGGGAGTCCTGTCAGCAGACCCCTCAGCGACTTCACCCCTTGGTGAGTCATGACTGTGTCCTCTCCAGTGAGGATCGAGTCTCAGCTTTGGTGGTGGACCAGTGGCTCTTCCATACTCATTCCGCTGCTGCTTTGCCTCTGCCCCTATTTCACGTTAGCCTTTTCTTTTTCAGCAGGGCCTTATATAGCCCAGACGAGCTTCAAACTCATTATGTAGCCAAGGCTGGCCTTGAACTCCTGATCCTCCTGCTTCTGTTTCCCAAGTGTTGAAACAATAGGTGTGCATCACTACACCCAGCCATGCTATCCTGTTATTCTTTAGATTTCTCTTTACTCCCTTGCAAGCAATTCACTGTTATGATACATCATGCACATTAAACTTTCACCCTTGGAATTACAGAGTAGTTTCTGTCTCTTAATTGGAATATGGCTAATACAGTTAGGTTTGTGAAAGAGAGAGCCTTGTTGAAATGGTACACATAGTCTGGAGCCCACTATGTAGCCCAGGCTGCCCTCAAATGTCAAATAATCCTCCTGTTCCAGTATCCTCAGTGCTAGGATTACAGGTGTATGCCACTATACATGGCAGAGTCCTGTTTTTTGTTTTTTTTGTTTTTTTTTTTAATATGGAATGCTTCACGAATTTGTGTGTTATTCTTGCACAGGGGCCATGCTAATCTTCTCTGTATTGTTCCAGTTTTAGTATATGTGCTGCCGAAGCGAGCACAGTCATGTGTTTTTTTAGAAATCAATTAATTTTTTGATGGCACAATGAGTTCAATTAGGGTTGCTTACGGAATCCTGACTGAAGGTTTATTTACAGCAGCATGGCAATTTACCAGTGGCTACAGCACTCAAGAAAATGTCTCTTCCCGAGAAAACCCATTGAGTGGGAGAAAATCTTCACCAGTGACACATCTGACAGAGATTTAACATCCAGACTATACAAAACTCAAAAAACCAAGAATTAAGAAAGGAAGTAACCCAATTAAAAGATGGGCTAAGGAGCTGAACAGAGAGTTCTCAAAAGAAGAAATAAAGATGGCTAAGAAGCATCTTAAAAGGTCTTCAACATCATTAGTAGTTAGGAAAATACAAATTAAAACCACTTTAAGATTTCATCTTACCCCAATCAGACTGGCTAAAATCAAGAGAACAAATGATACCAAATGTTGGCGAGGATGTGGAGAAAGGAGAACGCTCATGAATTGCTAGTGGGATTGCAAACTTGTTCAACCCCTATGGAAAGCAGTGTGGAGAACCCTTAAAAAACTACAAATGAACCTACCATTTGACCCAGTTATACCACTCCTTGGCATATACCCAAAGAACTCATCCTATTGCAGAGAAACTTGTACTGTTGTACCCCATCCACTGGACCCCAAAAAGAACACCGAGGACCCAACACACCAAAATGCAAAAGCAAAGGTTTATGGTTTATTCGGGCTTAAGCTCAGGCTCTCAGACCTCACCAACTCAACGGATCCGTGCTGAGAGCCCAGAGTAAGGGAGAGTGGAGCCTTTTATAGGTTTTAGACAAAGAGAGGAGGGGGATACCAAAGATACATTTTGGTTGGTTCAAGGAGCCCGCACATGCCAACATAATTTTAAACCTATTGGATGTATAAGATGCAGCCCTGGAAATTTCTTATTGGTAGGTGCTATTCTCAGGGCTGTGGAATGTGCTGACTGTTACCTGTGAGGCCAGGAGTCTCCATTTTTTACCTTATAGGGCAGTTTTTATGTGCGGGCTTGCTTAATCTGTAGTTTCCTAGAAGAGGGGGTGGGGAATAGCAGGCAGGGGTCAGGGCATGCCAGGATATGTCTAGGCATGTCTAAAGCAGCAGCCAAGCATTTTACAGAAGCTAAAAGAGCAATTAGTGGGGGTCTGGAGGGATTGGGGGGTAGCGGGTGAATGAAGAAGGTCTCAGGGTTCTACAGTACATCCATGTTTGTTGCTGCTCTTTTCACAATAGTAAGAGATGGAAACAACCTAAGTATCCCTCAACTAATGAGTGGATAATAAAAATGTGGTACATTTGGGGCTGGAGAGATGGCTCAGTAGTTAAGAGTAATGACTGCTCTTGCAGAGGACCTGGGTTCGATTCCCAGCACCCACATGGTGGTTACGAACTGTCCTTAACTCCAGTTCCAATGGAATCTGAAGCCCTCTTCTGACCTCTGTGGAATTGCTTCACATGGATGCACTCACATACATGCAGGCAATACACTCATACACATAAAATAAAAATAAGAAATAAAATATTTTTTTAAAAACATGGTACATTTATACCATGGAGTTCTACTCAGCAGTAAAGAAAGATGAAATCATGAAATTTGCAGATTCAGAAAAACAAACAATGTGTGTTCTCCTTTATATGTGGATCCTCACACCAAATCCTTATAAGTGAGTACGTATCCAGACACAACTATAGGAAGCAGGATAATGAAAAGCAACCAAGGAGGTAAAGGAAAAGAAAGAATGTGAAAAGGAAGAACAGTGGGTAATAGGGTTACTAAGGGAGATATGGATAAAAATGGGGTTATTTAAATGGGGGGGAGAGGGTTATATAAGGAATGTTGGGGATAAAGGGAAAGAAGGAGGTCAAGAGAGGTGGGACCATAGGAGAAGGGCATTATTAAGGGAGAAATGGGAAAAATGGGGGCACTTTAAATGGGGAAACCATGGTGGAAAGATTAGACAGCAAGAGAGATAAATAATGCCTAGTTTTAAAAAACCAGAGGGAATCATATTAGTCCAACAACCTACTGACAAATTATGCATACAACTAGTTCAAGGAACAAAATATATGCATAGTCAAGGTTTAGCTGAGAACGTTTGGTTTTTGCCCAAGTTTTATCTACATAGCACATGGTAATTAAAAGTACCAGACTGGTGGAACTAACCTTGGATGTTTAACAGTCACCGTTTGGGGCCTATACTAATCTGGTCAGAGGGACTTAAAGGACAGTTTTTGCTCCTTACCCTCTAAGGTCAACTCCTCAAACAACCTTAAGAATAAAAATAAATTGGTCTATTTGGGCTAACTGTATGGTCTTAAACACCCAAAAGGAAAGTATGACCAAAGATTAAAGGGCTCAATATAATTTTTTAAGAGTCCATATTTATAGCTAAAGGCTACATAACAAGAAACAATGCCAGACAAGAGATACCTTCTTCTGAGTTGTTGGCCAGGGTGGCCCAAGAGACTCCCAGAGAGTAACCCAGCTGGGAAATGAACAGCAGACCCCAATCTTATCTAAAGGAATACAGACAACAGATTGCTGCTAGATAAGGAACAACTGATCTTCCTAAAACAAGGATCTCTTGATAGGCTGACTAGATTCAGTGGATGGACAAGCACTGGGGAACGGCTGGGGGCACTGACAACACAGTGGACAGTAACAGGGATGACAGAATATATAGGCTCCGGTGGGGAGGGGTTTCTATGGGAGGGTGCCATTTGGGATGCAGGTATAAAGATGAATAAGATTGTTTGGGATGTTCTGTATGAAATACACAAAAAAATCAATAAAAAATAATAAAAGAAAATATATGATGGTCCCAGTACCATTTAAAAGACCATCTATCTGTCCCTATACTTTTGGCACCTTTGTAAAAAGCAAATTAAAACAAAAGAAAGAAAAGAAAATGTCTCTTCTTCCCAGTGACCATTAATTGTCTATAAACCCTCAAGGAAGGGCAGAGGCTCATAAGCCCTTTCCCCCAGCTATCACTATTGGCTTATAAGACCTCACTGGGGAGGGAGGCTCTAGAGGCCTGTCTTTCATCCATGTCAGAATGTGGTCAGGCCCAATCTTGATTAAGTCCTTTGTTGGTAATTGCAGCTGCTGTGAGATCAAGAGTGCAATGGCAATATCATGTTCCAATTTTGTGTGTGTATGTGTTCTTGTGGGTGCTGGGAATCAAATCTAAGTCCCCTTCAAGAGGAGTCAGTGCTCTTAACTGCTGAGCCATCTCTCAAGCCCCTCTTACCACATTTTAATATATGTATCATTTTTCAAATTGGTATTTTCTTCCCCATTTTTCATTAGTTCGTTGAGAATTTCATATAATGTATTGTGATAATATTCTCCTCCCAGATCCATCTTCCCTTAATTACTCACCCGACTTTGTTTATAATAGTGACATGAATGTCATGGAGTAATCAACCACCATATGATTGTTTTTAAGGCCCACCTCTGAAGATGAAGCCCATAACCTAGCACTGTTATTGGGGCCAAGAAACTGTGGTTAGACAAGTCATAGGCCATAAGGGAGAATCTACTACTATTATTCTGCTAAATGGACACAGTATTAAACCAACTCAGGGAGAGGGGGTTGGCAGGATGTCCCACCCCTAGCTAAGAGCTATTGGAAATTGATAGTTGCTGGGACAGGGAGAGGGAGTTTTCTTTAAAGGTGTGGCCCCTGGTAGGTCAAATGTACTCTAGTGGTTTGAGATGCCACAAGAGTATTTGAGATTTTTTTTAAAAAGCAGTGTCTGGTTTTTATTACTCCTAATTTACTGTCACCTTTAGTAGCTCATAAACTTTGAATACTTGTGTCAAGACTTGAAGAGTCTTGGCATATCAGGGTAGGCCTTCAGGAATCCCATTTACACAAGTGAAATTGGCAGATAGGACACTGGTGGTGAAGTTGGGCCCTAGAATACTACTATACTTCCTTACTAGGCCTTCCATCATAGAATATCACAAATTAGGTAGCTTGAACCATGGAAACATGACTCAGTTCTAGAATTTAGACATCTGAAATGGTAGGGTTGGCTATTTCTGAAAGCTGCACAGGAATGAACTGTTCTTGGTTTGTATTTAGTCATTGTCTTAGTTTGCTTCTCTATTGCTGTGATAAATACCACGACCAAAACCAACCTGGGGGGAGGGGTGGGCAATAGTTCATTTTCGGTTTACAGTTCATCATGGAGGGAAACCAGGGCAGGAGCTCAGGAAGGGAACTGAAGTACAGAGCACCGAGGAATGTTGCTTATTGGCTTGCTCCCTGGCCTGTGTCAGCCTACATTCTTATACAACCAAGGACCACCTGTCCAGGGTGGCACTGCCCACAGTGGGATGGGCTCTTTAACATCACTCAACAATCAAGACAGAACCCACAAACATGGCTACAGGCCAATCCAAAGGAGGAAATTCCTCAATTGAAGTTCCTACCCAGTGTCATGTTGACAACTGCAGCTATCCAACACAGCCATCTTCCTGTTCATATGACCTTCTTCCTTTCTATGTGTCTGGCTCTGTTTTTTCTCTTATTATTGAGGTACTAACTATTTCATGATCACCTTAATCACTTCATTTTAACTTAATCTCCTCTCTAAATATCCCATATCCAAATGTATTTTGAGCTACTTGAGGTTAGGACTCAATTTGAATTTTTCAGGTGGGGGATCCAATTCAGTCCATAACCATTAGAATTAATATTCTTGTGGAATGAAGAGAGAGGAGAGTGTGTCCTCCAATGCCTAGGATAGGGGAGATTGTCTGAATAAGAAAGAACTCTCTTTGAGTAGAAAGGAGTTGGCATTCTCCCACTCCAGGCCCCGAGTGAGTTTATTCTGAGGTTCTCTAAACAGGGAAGATAAAATTAAAAATAAAATAAAACAGAGTTATCACAGAAAGAGCAATACCTTGCTGATTTCAGGCAGGTGCACATGTTCCAGTGGCCAAGGTTGCCCTGGTTACTGCTTTCAGGGG